TTGTTGCAGGAATCTATAACAATCTTGAAAATCGTGAAGTAATAATAAATGGCTAAGAAATCATCAAATTAAACATGTCCCTACATTTCCCGGAGATTATGCCCTTACACTTTTCTTACACCTTTTCCATGCCTAGCTGGCATCACTTTTACTCACATCATCAATCTGATGTAACATTGCCCACAATAAGGAATAAACCACAACACATACAGTACACTTATGAATTGCATGTCGGCGTGTGGGGGACTAAAGTAATGTAACATGGCCATTTAGTACAGCATGTAATGTCTCTTTCTTTGTAATTATGGCCTTCAAAGAAATACTCAATAGGGAATATTTTAGGGGAATAATACTTAAGTCTCTTCCCCCATTTAAAGGTTTAATCAGCTGTACTGTACTTGTCAGAACAAACTGAACACTTGAACATTTTCAGACGAGTGGTTAGTCTCCTTCTTAAAGCTGACGGTTCAGTTGTGAGAGATGTCAGGGAAGAGATGAAGGAAATGTGCAACAGTGCGGCAATAGCTGCATTTAAATTCAGGATGACACAGTACATGGGCAATCTGTAATAGTCCACTCGCACTTCATAGTACTTGATTCAAAAGCTTCACAGCCAAGTCAGATTTATGTGGAGAGTGAAATTATATCACTAAGAAAAGATTGTATAAAATAATACAAACTATAAATTGTTGTATGTCATTTTTATTTTGGCGTTGATTTTGAGATTTGTGTTTCTCCCTCTCTCATTTGAATAAGGAAAAAAAGAGCCCTTTCAGGTTCAATCGTTTTCAAACCAGGAAGAGACCCTGCCGAGGATCACTGGTGAGCCGCATTTATAAATAAACCCACCACGAGACAAGAAACATATTTTAGATGTGTAAAGACACATTTTACAAAATATTCACAAATGTGGTAAGGTTGTCCATCGAGGCTTGTTTGTTGGCACTATAAATTACACGCTAAAGCGTGCAAGTCCGGCGAGATACAGAGACGGACATGCCCTTGATGTGCTGAAGAGCCATGAGGAAAACGAGATGATAAAAAGTGGGTGCGTATCAGGCACGGACTGGAGGTTAATGTGAGATGAGTGACTCTGCAGGCAGAATATGAGCTTTATAGTGTGCCAGTGACTGAAAGAGGGACAACATTGTATTCAAAGTGGATAATTTTGAATTGGTGACTATTATTAGTTGTCTGGGTACTGCCAGGAAAATCTCAGAGAAGGAAATTATGCATACAGCCAACAGACTGACGTTGTAATACAGAGCACTCCAGCTATGAAAGCCTCTTATAAACATCAATTCACTGTATTCACAACACAGCATTTTATTTCACCTTTTGCCAAAGCTTTTCTTTTCTCTTGATGTGAAATATTATTCTCATGTTTAGTGTATATGGGAGGATGAAGAGGGATTTTATTACTTTTCTCAGGTTGGCAGTCATAAGCCTGGATAAGCCCTCATACATATGAGTGTGTCTCACACATACTGTTTCTAGTTGTTGCAAATATACTGGCAAAGTTTAGCACATCTCGGATCCAAATCCCCCTTTCTGGGTTAAGTAAATACCACGCTACCCCAACAGCAATACATTTCTCTTCATATCAATCTAAAATGATGGACCTTACCACGACATACAACATATTCAAGGACACTGGACACACATGAATGTCAGTTTATGTTCAAGATGTAATGCATCAATTATTACTGAAGCCTTTTACCTTGCCTGAAAGTTGTAGGACGGAACAAAAACGTTGAAAGACGAAAGAAAAAGATAAAGGTATGCCCCATTGGCTGGCTGAAGTCCTTGAGGCAGGCATGAATACACTCTGAGTCAATAATTTATTCACCCAGACACACACAGTCAAACACACACACATACACACACACATAGAAAGGGCGACGGAGAGAGACCGAGAGAACTGCTGCAAAGGAAAACAGAAGACTCAAAAAAAGCTTCAGGGACAGAAACACAGACTGAGACTAACAACTGGAAGACATACATATGTTGCCAGATGTGAGATTGTGCTCTTTGCTAGGAAAGAAATATATAGACATATCAAGGTTGTTTAAGTCAGTGGTATTTCTACAATGTTGTAAGCCTGATGCAAATAGTAAAGGTTTTTTCCCTTGGTGAATTCTTACAGTCATGTGCCGTCTTCACACTGCCTGACACATCTATTCAAGATTACATAATGTAGATCTGCCCTAATTTCCCTCTCCCTAGCTGAATTGGGGTCTTCAAGCAGCTAAGCAACATAACACCATCAATCTGACAAACACATTGAGTCAAAGGTGATCCACTGTGCTTTGTTGTCTTATTAAAATTAGAATACAACAACAAATTCACAAGTAAATACAATTCAGATGTATGCATTTCTTGCAACTCAGCTTGAGTCTTTCATAAACAATGTTTACAATTTAGGACGTGCAACAAACACACATGTCAGAGAGCTGAGTTACAAATGAGTTCACATTCAGCGCAGTATATTTTTGCTCCTGAGTTTTTTTTTCTGTGTCAGGTAATTGGATGTTTCCATGGATACTGCTATGTATGCAAGTGTCGGGTAGCATGTGCATAAAAGATGTGTTCATATTGCACAGTTACAGTAAGGTCACATATCCTTACCCAACCTTTAAACACACCAATAATAACACTACAAAACATCCTTTGTTGCTTTGAGATGCTTGAGAACAAACATTTAGAATCTAAAGAGTACAAGATACTCATATTTTGAAAAGTAGTTTTTGTAACACTGCCCTGGGCCTGTTCTGCTAATGTTATTTGTGCATCTGCTTGAACGCTGTAGGCATCAGATAATCATTTCATTTATACATGAGAGAATTGATCGTTTGAGTTCTTAGTCAACGTGTCAACATTGTGGTTCTGAGTGAAGCTAAGACACCACACAGTACTATCTGTGCCACTTCAACGTTGATTATGCAACACACCCATTTTTGATATATCCCATTTGCCTATTTGAAACCATGACAATGGCTTGATCTGAACATTTGAGTTGTATATTATAATTGTAGTAAAGGCCATTGTTTTTCTTTGCAATATTTTCAAAGCTGTCTTCTCTGTGCACTATGACATTTACTTCACACACCATTTGTTTAGAGGGTGAAGGGAACACAGAAACCAGGGTATAACAAACGAATGCATATCTTTTATTCATCAGCTAACAACTAAAGAAACAGCACAATGTAGATATATTTACCCCACATAATCCTAGTTGTACTGTGTTTTTTTTACAGTAAGAGACCAGATTCTTGCTTTTCAGATCTAATTTAAGTTTGTATGGAAATGCTGATGAAGTGTTCTATATACAGATCTGAGGTTGACATAGAAAAAAGCAGTGTTTCGTATGAAAAAAAAGAAAATCAAACGTAAAAAAATTGGGGTCAAATAAGACACTGTCTGGATCTCTTCTTTTTTTGCAAATTAAACATTTGTTCACATACACAGGACAGTCACATTTCAATTCAACATATTTTTGGATTATCAGTATTTCTCACATGTGACAGATATCGGTCATTGATAACAAAAAGCTGAAAGAGCAAAACATATATCAAATGTCTGTTATATACAGTAAATACTGTGTTCCATTACACAGCTGCCTTCTCAAGATTCATACAGATTGAAAGAAACATCATGACAAACAAAATGTTAAAGATGTTGGATTTTCCTCCATCAACCCTGGAAAATTAAGTTATTAGTATTTGTGTTGTTCTATTTTGTCCTCTGTTGCATTCCTTTTGTTTCACAAAATGTACCAAGCATTTATAAAAAAGCGATTGTTTAAAGAAATAAAACAATTAACTAAATGTTGGACACCGCTCAGAATACAAACATTGTGTGTGTAACTTTCTGTGCAGGTTTACAGTGTTTTCACCACTAACTTTACACCAATATATTGATTTAAAGAAATCCTACATGTAGTACAAATCTCTGCAGGTTAACATCATGCTGCACTGTGGTGACTTCATTTTAATTCCAATAACTGTTCTCATAGCAGACACAGATCAAATGACGAAATAATCACAAAATGACTGTGGACTTGTAAAAGGCAACCCACCGAGACTGTATACTTGATAAAAAGCATGACTAATGCTGCAGTGTATCTGGTGGCATGCAGACACAGTCCAGATACACATATCCTCTAATTAGCTGAGTAAAGATGACAGGTTTAGGGCATAATACTGCATATGAGGTGAATGTACACTGTGTATTAAACTGTTAGGGAAAGTCACATTTCTGTGCTTACACTATTGACCCAGAAATGTGTTTGACTGCATTAGGACTGGATGATGTGCTTTGATTTTCTTAGAGCATAGACCATTTTGTGCATAAAGACGCCTCTATCCATTCAAGCATTCATTCGGTGTTCTTCTCAATCTATTAGCTCTTGAAGACCTTTATGCATTTGTTACACACACCATCAATCCCTTCTTAGTGAGACAGAACGAGACAGCTAATTGCAGTCAAATTGCCAGATTTCATGCAACCAAGCACACAAATGAAACAATGTTAAATAAATTGTTTTTTTCATTTTGATGCAATACACACACATCCTCTCAGCATGTTGCTTTAAACACATTAAATTAAACATTAATGAAGTCTTAGAAAAAAACTATTATCCAAAATGTGAATATTCTGAGGAGTTTCTGAGTGTTCCCTTTTAAATAAAGATTTACGACATTTGATAATATGCTTTAATATCATGTTAATGAGCAACTGAGAGGATAGGCTGTTTGCATTTGGTAAAGATTGTCTGAGTTAACTCCATAGCTATGCATAGCGCATAATGATTTAACATGTAGTACTTTTACCTACACAGCTATCATACCTACTTCTATGGCTATACAGTACGCACATGTTACCATATTGTGCATTTTATAAAGTGACATCATTGTTAACCTCTAGAAGTCAATAGTGCAGTTTTTTAAAATACAATGAAATGAAGAAAAATAAATATCCCTTTGTACAAAAATGTGCAATCATTTAAAATATTTTGAAACATTTTCAGTTTAATTTTCGACAGGAGCAGGAAGATACTCATATTGTATTGACAATCTACTCAAATATGTTGCAACTGGAAGATAGCTTTTGTAAGTGTATTCAGACGTAAAAAAAGGTTGTCAGTTTACAATAAAACACAGAAATGTAGTATTGTGAGTGTCAAACTTTGCATATGTTATGAGACGATTTTCTTTTGCTTTGGTTCTGGTACGAATAAATAAAGACACATTACATTTTCTCAACAAGTATGTTTTCAAGCTGTATGTTTGCAAGAGCATACAGGTTTGTGACAAATGATATAGATCTTTAAAGCTCCCAGTACAGCTACAGTACATCTGAATACAACTTTGATTATAATCTTTTAGTTGCAACATTTCTGATTAAAACAATGCATTGATATGTAATTCAATAAAAGAGCAACACGTGTCCATAATCCACAATTGTAGTTGGTTTGGAGATGGGGAGGCTCTCATCACAGATTAGGTTTGTTCAGTGTATTTTTAGGAAATATTAATGAATCTCTTACAAATCTGCAACAAGAGAGCATTGACTGGTCTCATAATCTGTGATTTGAGATATTAAATTGTAATTACTTTTATGACCTCATGCACTTAATATTATCATCCCAGAGCTGTGCAAGCGGGAGGAAAAAGTGCCTCCCTAATGTGTGACTACATTTTTTACTGGAGCACAATTTCAGGGTATAAAACAGATGCGTCTTTTGTTACACCTACACACGTAGGTCAAATTAATGTTTACAGATACATTTCCTGTTAAAATGAATTTGATTTGTTCAATTTTGTAGCCATGGGTATAACTGTTAAACAAATCTAAGTTATTTTGGGATAAGAACATTATCTGCACACTTCATTGACATCATAATGCAGCTAATTTGAGAGAAAAAAGCTCGGTCTCGCATTATGGTCAATCAAACAGCTCTAGGATGTATTTTAGGTAGGGATGAGTCATAAAACCCAATCATTTCTGGTTGATATTTACAAATGATCAAACTGTTGAATACCACAGGGGTTAAGGGTTACTTTAAACTGAGAAGTGTTCCACTTTGTTACTCAATGCTGTAACACACAATGTCCAGAAATGCATATAGTCTAGGTCACATTGCATTGTACTTATAAATGTCATGAAATAGTTCTGCCTGTTTTTCAAACAGGGTCTGATTCCTGATAAAAATAGAAACATTGCAACAATGCATCCGATCTGACCGCCCAGGTGTCAGATCTCTCAAAACTGTGAAAATGTTGTTCGCTTCTCCAGAACTTCAAGGTAGTCTGGATCAATATGAAGCTTTGCTTTCAGTTCCCAGTACTCGCTCCTGTTGGGCTCCACATACACAGTACTTGGTGCTGCACAATACAGTATTGTCTGTTGTATTCTGTCTGGCTGCACGTATTGATTCCTTGCATCAAAGTCTGAGGTATACAGACTTGAAGAGCGTGCCGCATGCCTGCATGGTAACGTATTGCTGTAGTGTGTGTGCTTGTCAGGTTCAAGTACATCTCTGTAGTAACACTCATGATCATCTCGGTGAGGGATGGAGGACTTGTTAAGAGGCTCTGGAGTAGTGGCACTGTATTCCAAGCTTATTACATTACTGGCTGCCTCTTCATCCGAGTTACCCAGAAAAGCACCGCTCAACTCGTCAAAGTCTCTAAATCCATCCACTGATTTGCTGTCCGTCGGGGTTTGGGCAGTAGTTCTGCATGTGGGTTCTGCGGGAGGTGGGATGAACTCATATACATGTCCTGCAGATGTTCTGACTTTGGGAATGGATCCCTTTTTGTAGAGGCCGTATTCAATGTTGAGAGAGCTAATGCAAGCATTCATGGAGTTATTATGCTCTATTTGACACTTTTGATGTCTCTTTTTCATTACCACGAACAATCCTGCAGCCACAAACACAGACACAATGAAGATGAGGAGAAGGGCTAGAATCATCACAGATAAAGGAATGGCGCTGTATTGTGTGTCATAGTCCAAGGATGTTTCTATGGTGATAGTGCTGCCAGGAAAAGATTCTTCCGAGGGTGGGATCATGGAGGCAAGTATATCAGAGTTATTAGGGCAGACATTTGTTGTCTTAATGTATCTCATATCCTCCCCAGCTAGCTTCTTAGGCGATCCACAGATGACATTGTTTACAACCGTGCCTGTGCTAAGCTGCTCCAGCCACATCTTTAACTCCAGTATCCTACAAGAGCAATCCCAGGGATTCTCAAACAAATCTACCTGCACCAGTGCTGTAAGCTGATCTAGCACGCCGCTGACCGGCAGGTATCGGAGATGGTTGCTCCGAATATTCAGTCTGGCCAATGTGAGGCCGTTTAATGTTCCGACTGGTAACGTTTTCAAGAGGTTATTGTTCAGAAAAAGAAGCTGAAGTTTGGGAACATGCTGAAAGGTGTCAGAAGTCACCTCTTTAATGATGTTGTATTCTAAGTATAAGAACTGTAAAGTCTCCAGGCCATAAAACATGTTAGCTGTAAGATGGTCAATCACATTCCCGTTAAGGTATAGTCTTCTTAGATGTGTCAAATCGCCAAAAGCTCGGTCATGTATGCGAGATATTCGATTGTTACCCAGGTGAAGCAAATCTAATCCAGTTGCCTCAATAAAATCTGATCGACGCACCACAGGGATAAAATTCCCAGTTAGATACATCTTTTTGGGATTGTAAGGTTTGGGATTTAAGTCGGAGATGGACTCAATTTTTCGCTCTTGGCAGTTCACATTCAGGCCAAGGTCTGAAATTTGAAGGTTACATGTGCAGGCAGTTGGGCAATCTAAAGGCACAGGGGATTTGGTTTGATATGAAATAATTTGCCCATAATTTTGTGGTTTGTTTGATGAGATCAGAGCAGTGGGCCTTGATTTTAATTTTCTTGACTGGCGGGGTCCCTTAGTGGGTCTTGATGAGGACCGTGCAATTGCAGATGAGGTGAAGGAGGCTGGGAGTAGAGCTGGTGTGGTCCTATAGTATGCATCGGTGCTCAAATGTGGCAGCTGGGGCATCTCATATTCAGCAATGGCTCTCCTCGGGCACAACTCCTGTTTTGAAACTTCATCGAGATCTCTCCCATGAAGCCGGAAAGGGAACTCACAAACAACGTCTCCAACTAAAGCTGAATATGATATGCTCTCGAGCCAGGTTTTAAGAGCAATGAGCTCACACGAACAGTTCCACGGATTCTCCTCCAGCTGTAACTCCACAACGCTGTTCATGTGCTCCAGCAGACCTGAGTAGGGGAGGACTTTAAGCTGATTCCCCCTTAAGTCTAAATGAGTCAAGGGTACATACTGGAAAATGTTCACTGGCAGAGAAGATATTAAGTTGTCATTTAGAATCAGGACCTCCAGATGTTGAAATCTGCTCAAGGCATTAGGCGCCACGTGGGTGATATAATTATTATCAATTTGTAGATATTCCAGACTTTCAAGGCCAAAGAAAATCTCTTCCTTCAAGGCATCTATTTTGTTATTGTTGAGATGCAATCGTTTTAATCCCTGAAGTCCATTAAAAGCTCCTGCTTCCACTTCAGATATGTCATTATTTCCCAGATGTAATATTGTAAGTCCTTTGTAGTCAACGAAGTCATTAGCAGATAGCTTTTTCAAAAGGTTTCCTGTTAGCAGCAGATGATACTGGGAGAAGTACACTGGGCTTATGTCTGAGATACTTGAAACTCCTCTGTTTTCACAGCTCACTGTGAGAATGCCCTCTCTCTCCTCACAGGCACACAGTCGTTGACATATTTCTCCATAACTGCCAAACATCTCAACAATGCACACTGACATTGCACTTAGCAAAACATATGAAATCCAAAGATGCATTTTCGTGCACAATGATGGCCGAGCTCACAGTCCTGCTAAGGTATCCTCAATGTCATCTAGAAATAAAAGACACATGGTGATGTAAAACAGTCAGACTGCAATGAAAGCAACTTCCACACAACAAGCTGTAGCCTGCATAAGTCAAAGGTTAATTTGCTGTTATCCAACACAAGGGTCACTTCTGGCTGTGTGGCTGCTGATTCTATAATGGCTTAAACAAGGCAGCATAGAAAGCAACTCCTCAAGCTATGTAAACATCAAAAAAGCAAGGTCAAAGCTGTAAATAAGCATGAAACAATGGATTTAATCCAATGTAAGGGGAAGCCACATCACGTTTGCTTGTTAAGAAATAAAAATGAAAATAAAATCAGTTGAATTGAAATATTTGTAAAGTAAAGAAGGTTAGCTGAGATTCTGCATGACAAAGCACGCCTTGTAAGACGTCAAACAGTCAGCTTAATTTCTGACCAAGTCCTGGTAGACATACATACCTCACGCACATTGATGAAGATGAACACTCGTTGGGTTGTAATTCAGCGCCTCTTTTATTTTTAATCCGTCAAAACGAAGGAGGAAACACAAGCTTATGTTCGCCGTTTTTAATGCACCGGAGAGGATGAAAGAAACGCTGATAAATCATAACTGCCAAATGCTTCTGTTTAACGACGCTGTGCCGGAGGAGACACAGCTATGCCTGGTAACAAAGTTGCTTATTCGCTCCCTCGCTCCCTCGCTCCCTCTCTCTCTCTCTCTCTCTCTCTCTCTCTCTCTCTCTCTCTCCACGGACGCTCACGCACGCACGCACGCACGCAACACGCACGCACGCTCGCTCGGTGGTCGGGAGGATGTCAAGTCATTTCATGCACAAAGGATCAGCTCAGTGGAGCATCGAGATACATCCCCCCAAAAGATGTTGACCTACCTACAGAAAATATGTCCCAAAAAAATATCAATAAATCACCGTGCTATGAGCGCTCCTTCGTTCAAACGGTCTGTTGAACAGTTTATCATGTCATTCATTCTGAAAACAAAATCCACTGGATTTTCATAATCTGTCTATCCCGTAATGTTTATTCTCTGCTTTTTTTTTTTTACACATCCCACTTGAGAAAAGCAGTAGTTCACAGTGCATAAGGTGCTCTGCAGGTGCCCATATCTCAAACTACCTCAGTGGTCAGAGGTTGTTAAGTTTTAATGGTAAAGGTTCAGTGAGAATATTTTGTAAAAATCCAGGTAACAGTCATCCCTTGAATGAACTGTAAAACGGAATCCATTACAGCCAGTGAAAAGCTGCACTAAAGTGCTTATATGGCCCGTGCAAAAGAGCCATAATAATCATGTCATCCACTGCCTAATGCATCCACACACTAGGGCTTTTCCATGGTATGTATATTGATCTACCCCCTGCTAGCAACAAGCTACATATAACTAAAAGTAGTCTTGTGATGGTGTTATATTTGCCTGTTTATTTTTGAAATAAAATGTAAAACTATGAGTCACAGAGTATGACTCATTGCCCTTATTGAGTTTGTTTTCACCTGATCTTACAGTAATGGAAAAAAACAAACAGTTTTGGCATGAGTTCTTGCGGCAGTATAATTAGACTGAATTATTCAACTCTCTAATTTTCATATATCAGATGGAGCATCTGGTGGGACATGTTGGTACGAAATGTCGTGTCAGTTAGTGACAGAGCGCAAAAGGTAAGGAAGGAGACCTGTCATGCTCATCCCCACCTGATGCAGTTGCACTCATGTGGAAACATGTCAAGCATGGTGTTGTATATCGCTGTGTCCTCGCGGAGCTATATCCATCATCCTCCCCACTTGGCTCTTGTTCACATGGGAGGAGAGGAAGCACATCAGGGACATTGCCTGTGGCTCATATTAGAGAGTATGAAGACTGTATTCATCCTGCATGCATTTCATTTGCTTCTGTTTTCTCTGCCTTCAGAGGTTTTTGCTGCATATTTGGCTCTCAGAATTAGCTAAACCACATCATTACACCACTATTTTAGCATAAATTAGCATTTAGGTTTCTTGCAATATGATAATAAAGTGTTCAGCTGGTGCAAAATAGTAATCATCACCATCATCTGAATGAAAGGATTCAGGTTTTTTTTTTTTTAAATATTAAGGAAATGCTATTTCAAATTTGACTATGTACATGTTGTGTGGTCACATTTTTGCTTACGTTCCAACAAATCTTTGCATCTCCCTAAAGTATGATAATGAATACTGTTCATCCATGGTCACAAAATGTGCAGAGGGAACATGAGGCATACACAGGCGATGCATGATACGAGCCTCATTTAATACCCCTCCAAGTCCTCCACGACACTGAACATAATCTTCACCAACTAGGAGCAGAAGACAGTAACCACACACGCGCACACGCACACACACACGAACACACACAAAATAAATCAGCATAACAAATGTGTGGAAAAACATGATGATGACTAATAATGTGCTCCAAGGTCAGTAATACACAAATGGAGTTGGAGCTGTGCCACAGAGGATGATGGGTATTTCTTCTGATATACGTCCCTTACAGATGGTGGGTTGCACTTTGTCATCTTTGTCCAACACTCTGCATCCCATGAACTTTTTCTGCTACTGTCTGACAGAAACATTAATCTGAGGGATCTCAAAAGCTTCACAAGTGGTGTTAAAAAAGCAAACAACACAGTCCTTTTCACATTACTGTGTCAACACCATAGACTGTATGGTCAACACATTATGCAGGATTTTTCTCCCCACAGAGAACACGCTAAAGCTTTTGGACCCTTGAATATTTACTCAAGTGGTCGAAATATAATTTGATATCATCTGGAAAACGAAAGGAATTTGCATTTAAAACTGTATTTGCAGGCCAGAATAGGACTCCCTGGAACTGAAAGAGCCACACATGGAGTGAGGGGATGGTCAGCTGGAAATGAAAGAACCGCAGATGGAGTGAGGGGATGGTCAGACAAGGCTTTAAGAGACAGGACTGGGGAGAATGGGCCGCGAGGGGAGGACATGCAGTCTGCCTGACACACTGCATCATCTCTGAAAATAACGTCCGTTGGGGAGGTACAGTGTTTCTCCAACAAGTCCCTTTAGTCTTCCCTGAAATGAAGCCGTTATTGAATGACAGAAAGAGGTCGCATATGTCAGTGCCAAAGGTGGGTACAGAAAAAGCAGAATAGGAATATCAGGAATGGCGGAAACCGTTTCAGGAGGAAGGCTTAGGAGAAGGAGAGGGCAGCAAAAGAATATGAGCAAGTTTGTAGGAGGATGAAAAACATCTTGGTTACAAGAAATCTAACAGTGTGAGAACATGCCTCGCAGAGTATCTCTGGTCTCCCTAGAGGAGGATGGGGGAGAAAAAGATGATGGCCATATTATCAGCCATCATGGACGACACCTCTTACCTCCCCATGGATCTCCAAGTGCCCAGAGCAGCTCCTTCTCTGGCAGGCAGCTCCATAAAAAAGCGGCTCCACAACATGTTTTTCATTTCCACTGCCACAAGGCCCTGCAGTCTTTACTATTCTCATAAATAACGGAATAAACTATACTTAAAAATGTTTTTGAACTATTAATATGGGTATATCTACCTTTTTTTAAATAAGGCTGGTCAAACATACTATATAATGCTATTATTTAATGTAAACATTGTTCTCATTCACTTATTTACAGCACAATTATGTTTTCATCGAAGTTCTACTCATAGCCTTATGTCTGTTTACTTTATAATCAATTAACTCTAATTTCTTTATTTCCTGTGCAATCTCATACATTTTTAGTTATTTGTCACATACATTGTATCACTCTGATCTAATTTGCATATGACACTGAATTTCTTGAAGTCAAATGTCATTTATTGTGTTCTTGAAAACAAGATGGCGGTTTTGCGTCTTCATCTTTTAAACCATACCCGCAGCCCACCAAACTACACTCTCTTAACTCATCGGCCACCCCACTTCATCCAGACCTGACCTCCGATATCCCTTAACACCGCCAACTGGCACCCTGGACTTTGTGAAGTATGGACATTGAAGTGGATTTCTGGGCTTATTCCATTTGACCTTTAAAGGACTGACCGTTGTGTTATAATTGACATTTTCCCCAACAACAGTTTCTTACGCCCTGAGGGTGTGTGTGTGTCTCTCTTTGAATTAGTGCTCCTGCGCTCTTCTGTATTATTTTTACAAAGTCCCATTTTTGTATGGTGTTACCTCCTATATAAAGGGCTGAGTTAGAAAGTGTTGCTGTATTTTCCGTTAAAGCCCATTGAGATATTAATGTAGTAGCTATTAGCACAATAACAGATCAACTTGACGACAAAGGAAAAGGCAAAGAGATTCTATTTATTGAACACCTTAGTATTGGAGCAATATATTATTACACATTTTGTATCAATCATTACATTACAATGTAGCCTAATGTAATTACATTATATTACATTGCATTTAGCTGACGCTTTTATCCAAAGCGACTTACAATAAGTGCATTCGACCAGGAAGATACAACCTTGAAGAAAACAGAATCATATAAGTACATAAGGTTTCATAGAGCCAAACATTTCAAGTGCTACTCAACTGGCTTTAGATATACCAGTCCTTTATTAGTATATAAGTGCTCTGTTAGCAGTTCTTTGTTAGTAATTCTATCGCTTGAAGTGGAGTCAAAAGAGATGAGTTTTCAGTCTGCCCCGGAAGATGTGTAAGCTTTCTGCTGTCCTGATTTCAATGGGGAGCTCATTCCACCATTTTGGAGCCAGGATAGCAAACCCACGAGTTTTTGCTGATGGGAACTTGGGTCCCCCTCGCAGTGCGGGTGCAGCGAGCTGTTTGGCTGATGCAGAGCGGAGTGCACGTGCTGGGGTGTACGGTTTAACCATGTCCTGGATGTAGGAAGGGCCAGATCCATTCTCAGCATGGTAGGCTACGCAAGTACCAGTGTCTTGAAGTGGATTCTAGCAGTTACTGGAAGCCAGTGAAGGGAGCGGAGGAGCGGCGTGGTGTGGGAGAATCATAAAA